CTATGCGCTGATATCTGAGGTCTATAAATAATAAATATTCAACTTGGTGGTTAGATACTTCCTTGAGCATGGGAAGCACTAAATAGAAAAATAATCCTCTTCTACTTGTACAAATCCATGGCAGGAGGAAGGTGGAGTAGGGACAGGGCACTATAGGGTCTTGCGTTAATATGTGGAACAATCATACAGCAGTCAGGAAAAGCCTTACTGGCAGCCTTAGTTCTCGAACTCAATGTAAGAACATTATCATTCCTCTTACAAGCTCTCAGCAGCAAATGGCCTTATGGTTCCTTTTGAATATCCTTACTCACATCATTGCCAATGAAACAGAGGTTCCGATTTTGAGAGCGGAAAAGGCAAATTTGCCTATATTTCCTTTCTAGAATTCTTGGGACCCTACTGGAGCTCACAGAAGTCATCTGGGACTTCAGGAGGATTTAAATCAGGCCATAAGTGCTGCTCACTTGGATTAGTATGATGTACATTGAGGACAACATCTGTATTTGGGTTTGGGTGGAGTCCTTTCATGGTGGAAGAGTCAGTAATGCTTTTACAACACCTTTCATAAGAGGATTTGAGAGTTTCACAAATATCTAATTACAGAAACTACTAAATTATGTGAAATCCTTGGTCCTGGGGAAGTACAGGCAGCACCATTATGCTTCAATATAAAGCAGGGGTGGGTGGTGTTCAAAGTGGCAAAACAAAAGCAAATTTGCCACATGCAAGCCATAACCTGCTGCGCTATCTCATTTTCATCCAGTATTTTATTCTTCTCATTTCTTTATATTAGCAGCCAGGTTGCAACATCAAACCACCTAAACAAAATGGGCTGGTACAAGCCTCCGTTCAGAACTACCGTCAGCGCCAAAGAAGGGACTTTGGAAGTTCACCGATCTCTTACTGATCCATTTCCGTAGTGTTTGTGTTTCGTTGCTCTGTTTAGCAAGGGCTGGGTGCCAAGGATGCCAATAAGGACAGCTTCCTCAATACAGGAGGTCTGGGATGAAATGCCTCTGAAAGCCCAGCCTGCTCCAAATCCCAGAAAGCTGGCTGCTGAGCCTTTCCAAGGAGGGCGTGCCTGCTCTGTACCGTACCTGCTTTGGGATTAGCAACAGGAGATCTAATCCACTTGTTCTACCTAAATCCATCCCTCTCCTGGTCTTGGTTAGTAAATATTCCACTGTTTTGAATGACTGTTTAAGTTTTTGTTAAAGGGATTTTTTTTTATTTGACTTAAAATGTGGAGCCTTTACTGTTGGAACTGAGGCTCGAAGCCCAGGCTGCCCCTTCCCTTCTCTTCCTGCCTGTATGACAGATCTGCATGGGTGGGCAGTTCAGGTGAATCCCAGACCTCGCTATTTGAATACAAGGGCCCCAAGGAGTTGCTCATCAAGACTAACTTTAAATGCAAGCTTAGCAGGCTGAACACTTTGATTTGCCTCTAAAATCAACAGTAACTTATTCCAGGTTTCCTGGTTGCAACTTGAATGGGGAAGAAGAAAGGATGTCTGCAAAGCAGATTTATTTGGAAAAATAAACTGCTGACTGGTTGGGACCCTGTAACAACAAACCCAGTGCTTAGTTTTACTCTGGCTGCAGTATCTGTGGTACTTTTTTCTGCTTTCTCCCACACCTTCCCTGCTGTGCCCTCATGGTCTCTCCTTATGTGTAGGCAGTAAAGTAGAATTTACAAGCATCCTGCTCTCTGAAATCCTGGCAAAGGCAGAGTCTTGGAAATTTCCCTTTGCGGAGTGCACAAGAGGAGACTAACCCCGGAACAACGAGGTGGGGAAAAGCGCTGCTGTTTGTATCCCACCCAAAAGTAAGGATGCGCGTTCAGACCGTGACAGCCCTCTGAGTGGCCAGCCTCAGCCGTAGCAATGGCTCCTGGGGAGCCTAGTTAAAAATGTTGCGGGAAAGGGAGAGGGTTTTTCTTTGCTTGCTTTTTAAGGATCACTATCCATGTCTTCTGCATGAGCTCTCTCACCTGCTAGTGACCTTTAGTGAAACAGCGAGCCGGCTCCCAGGCAGTTGCAGCATGCTAGTGGCGATACGGACTCATTTGCAGGTTTTGGCTCTGACATGCGGACTGCTCCCCTCTCCGTATGTTCGTGCAATAGGCTTCCAACATGTGAAACATCTGAAGTGTCTGGGTGAAACAATAGGGTCATACAGCTGGAAATCCAAGCACAAACAGCTCTCTTTTTTGCAAGGCCAGTTTACACGTATATGTGTGTGTTTTGTTTGCTTTTAAAGATCCAAATTTATTTCCTGGGAAGTCGCTGGCAAAATTTGCGTGGGATCTCCTTTGAGTTCCCCTTTCTTCTGTTTCTGGTACTTTCAAAACAAAGCATTTTTGGGCACCTAAGCTACATATGGATTTCATTATTTAAATCTCCCCATGTATGTGGGAGGTTATGTATATAAAGTTAATTTGGAAACACTAGTTTTACAGATTCCTATGAACATACATAACTTGCTCAGTGCACTTTTATACTCAACTCTACATGGAAACTTTTACTGCAGCACTGTAGCTTTTGCTTTGTTATATATTTCCTCTGGTTATCAAGCGGTTCAAACAATCTGACCGTGTTTTCTACTCTTTAATTTGAGCTGCTTTGGCCTGTTCACTTTATAGAAAATGAAAACCAGACTGATCTTCTGGAAACTCCCTCATCACCCCAGTCCGTTCCCACCAACCCTATCGTTTACTGTTAATTTTTTCTATGGTGTGTTGTGTACACTTTGTTAATGAGAACTTGCTCTAGTAGAAAAAAGACCTATGCTGACCTATTAAAACCCTGAAGCCAATGACCATGGCATCTTGAACTCTTCATTACACTGCCTTACTTTTATTTACGATGGTCCCATCATATTCATGATTATTTGCCTGAGGAGACACTCTAAATGATGCCTTTGTTTCTGTTTCTAAAGCTTTACATTTTTTTGTATGTTTGAATGAGGGTATTTTCTGCAGCAAAAAAAAAACCAAACTAGAACAGGGATAGCAGCTTTGTATAGACATAGGATCTTATTTGATATGGCATCTTGCACCTGTATTGGAGAATCTCTATTTGTCTGTTGAGTGTCTGGTCACAAGAGTTAGCTCTTTTTTTTTTGTCTCCTCCAAGGATTAGTCTGAAAAGTCCACACAAAATGCTAGCTGTTGACGTGAATTCTAGCACTCCCTGGTGCATGCTATCTTAGGTACGTTGTATGCTTCCTTAGCCGTAAAAGCTAATGTTGGGATGAAAGGGGAAAAACAAGGTTCAGACTGCTCTCATGATGACGTGTCTCACTTGCATTTGTTGCATGAACATAACACAATAAATTTATCAGATGCTAATGACAGGTTTCTTCTTAAAATAGTCCTATTTTATGAGTGTAATAGTTACAGTCCCCAAGGGAACACTGCCTAGTCAAGTGGGTCTTTCCAAGCACTGGATTTGCATATTTTAAACAGATTTTTCAAATCATTTCCTAGAAGAACAATCTGGCTTTTGTCCCTTTCAGACCAAGATGAGAAGAAGGAAATTAATATTGCAATGTGGGGCTGCAGTGAGGGAGGAGGGAGAGTTCAGAATAAGACCTGGCACCTAGTTTCTAGTAAAAGCACCTGGATGTAAGAGTATCAATGAAATTAAAGAAAAAATTAGAAATGTCCTATGCCTTGGCCTAGGTCTCTTCCAGAGCATTTCTATCTGCGTTTCACACTCCTACCAAGATTTTATCCACTTCATGAGCATGTCTACACCTTGGCATACAACAGTTACTGAGTAATCAATGAATGCCAGGGTTACTCCTGTGGTGCAAACTTCAACCTGGGAAACTGTCCGGTAGCAAAAGTACCTATAAACTGCCAGGATCCTGCCAAGCTCAGAGAAAAACTCTTCATCCTAAGAATTCTAGCCTTAAAAGTGTAAATCAAAGAACAAACTGGATAAGGAGAGAGCACTCTGCTTAGCCAGACTTACATAGCTGTAACTTCCAAGACTTCTTGTAGGTGAATCCAACTCAATCTTAATTAGAGAACTGAAAGGGGAGAACTAAAACTTCTGCCTATTTATGGTATGGGGAAAGGGAGCAAGAATGGTTTTATCATCTTTTCAATATCCTGAGATTTCACCTATGATGCTTTAGGTAGCTGAGTTAGCCAGTAAGCCTCCTCAAGTCCCACCTTTGCTGAAAGAAGGAGATATTCTTTCAGAGGGCTGTTAAGACCATCTCTAACTCCTGCTCTGAATTTCCCTCTGCAGAAAACAACTCTGGCTTTTGTCTGGAGAGGGAGGCAAGCCAAATTAGCCAGCAAAGCCCTGCACCCAGAGCTGGGTGATCTTCATTCATGGCCTTACATAGGAATCCTGCATCAGGTACTCAAAATATCTGCGGCTACTGCAGAAAATTCTGCCCATTGCTCATAACTGTAGTGTAGGTTGGCATCGCTGGCCTAATAAAGGATAAACTGGTTTTGTTTCTTCACCTGAACCTCCCAAAAGCAGCAGAGCATTAGGCTGCCTTTCCTCTGGTTGCTCCAAAGGCAAGTACAAAATGTCAAGTTACAGCGTATGCACAGACCGCATACACTGCTGATCATGCTATGGAAAGCTGCGCGGTTCCATGGGTGATTGTTCGGAAAACAGCCCCTGTTTGTGTCTCTGCAAACAAGCATTTACTTGTAAGGAGAAAAAGGCATTGCATTTCTGGAATTAAATGAGGAGGTCTGTTGTTCTCCGCAGAAACTGGAGTGCGTGGCTGTGCCTGGTGGTTGTCGGAGTGCCCATGTTTGGTTTTTTTGTGATTTTCCTTTCCCCACCTCCTGTTCTCAGAGGGGATCAAGGAGGAGGGATGGTGACCTCATGGTGCAATTATGCAATCTGCTTGAGGCCAGGTATCAAAATACACTGCAGCTGTGAAGCTGGGACCTCGCCGTGGCTGGGGGGCCCGGGCCTCCTGGCTCTAATGAGATCGCTGACCTTCCCCTGCCACTTCTTCTGCAGCTGCTTTGATTCACAGAGATTTGTTGTGGCAGTGGCCTGCCCAACAGTTTGGCAAGCTGCCGTAGGAAATGCTGCAGCTCCAGGCAGGCGCTGGGAGCTGCCCTCGGAGACCCAGAGCAGGTGAGGGTATCCAGAGCCCTGCCAGCCGCTTCCCATCCTGACAGAGCTTACTTGCCTTTGTCCAAGGGTATGCAAACATTACCATCCTCCCAGATTTTTTTTTTCCCCCAAGAAGTAAGGAGAAGGTTATCTGTTCTCCAGTGAAATAAAGCAGTGCCTTCCGAGCAATCTTGTCGTGACGCTTGAGCTCAGGGCTCAGCTGCAGCAAAGTCACATATGGAAAGAATAAGAGAAAATAGCATGCCTACAGTCTGAGGCATATTTGGGCCTCCAAGTCCTGAAGTCTCGTTCAGACTTTGCATTCTTTGCTCTAATTGCTGCACTGCA